TAATTCTTTTGCTTGTTTAACACAATTATTCATTATAGTTTTACATTCTGGTGGTAAATAAAGGAAAATGAATATTTGGAAAGAATAAAGGAATGTGAGGCGATCACTGAGTCTCAAACCGGCATGATTGACTCGATGGAAGGTTTATTAAAGGATCTTGTGGGCAAAATGGATCGCCTAAAAGATGAAAAGGCAAGGCGTAAACTAAAACATCAGCATCGTCATTCTTCTTCTTTTTCCATAGATCATCATCATTCACATAAAAAGAGCCGTAATAGTATTAATAATTATAATAATAATAACAATTACAATAATAATAATTTTAATGATCATAAATTACATCGTCGTAATCAATCATCAATAAGTTCAATGCGTACACTCGTGAATAACAATAACGACGACGACGATGATGATGATGATTATATGAGTCAAGGTTTACTACCACAACGACCACAATCGACCCTAAGCAATTATTATTCACACGATGCAGCAAGTATACAGCGATCAAAATCAAGCCTAAACAACCATTATACATACGATCCAGCAAAGGTATCGAATTTACAACGATCAAAATCAAGCCTAAACAACCATTATACATACGATTCAGCAGCGACATCAAATATACAACGAACAAAATCAAGCCTAAGCAATCATTATTTACACGAACCAACAAAGATGTCAAATGCACAACGATCAAAATCAAGCCTAAGCAATCATTCACTCGATCCAACAAACACATCAAATATGCAACGATCAAAATCAAGTTTAAGTAATCATTATGTTAATGATACAACTAAAAAATCAAGAACAAAATCAAGTTTAAGTAATATAAACACTAATATATTTGGCACCATAATGACAAGTTTGAAAAGATCTCAATCAAAAGAAAGTAATTGTAATTATAGCAATTATAGTTCATCGGATGAGTATAATCCATCTGAATTAATGCCAGCTCGTTGTATATCTCCACCTCGGGTATGGATTATTTTACATATAAATTATGCAAATATATATATATATATATATATATATATTATAATGATATTAATATTTATCGTATTTCATTATTCTAGTCAAGAAGACAGTCATATACAAATCCAATATCATTATTCACAGATGAAGAACGCGTTAAACATCAATCTCGTTTTGGTATGTATATTTAATCAATCAATCAATCACTTAAATCATTTATTCATTCGGTCAAACTATAAATCAATTGTTCTAATTCTAATTTTTATCTCCCTTCTTCTTAATAAAGTTTTAGCAAAACGATGGGTCGAAGATGATGAAGTATCAGTGTGTCGACATGCGGACTGTAATACAAAATTTAGTTTTTGGAATAGAAAACATCATTGCAGAAGGTAATTGATAGTTAGTTAATTAGAAAGAGATAATATTTATTTTTTATCAATAAAATTTTTTATTAATAATTTCCCTATAAATTTTAAACAATAGATGTGGTGATATCTTTTGTTATAAACATAGTAACTATTCAATGTTACTGTTTGCTGATGGAAATGAGGATTGGGGTGGTGTATGGTCCAAAGTTTGTGAAGAATGTTATAAAGATAAAGATGATAAAAAACAATAAATCATTTTTATTTATTTTTACTTGATTTCCTTTTTTTTTTTTTTTTTTTTACCCACAAAAAAAAACACCCGTTTATATTTATTTATTTATGTAATTTTATGTATATTTAATTGTATTATATACTATAGTGTTAAAAATTTTTTTGTTTAATTGTATTATAATAATAATAATAAATAATATATACATGGTGCAAACCAGATAAACTGCAATATTAATGCATAAAATAGCTTTTATGAGTGTAATAATGATTTTTTAACTATCAAATAGCCCCATATAAGGTGGTCAATGCTTTTGCATTGATTAGGCAAGTAATTCTTTTAATCTACGCACTGCTTTTCTTTGTAGATAAGATAAAGGGCACAATATGCATTTGTAATTCTAAGACATCATCTTGCAGGGATCTTTCATGTTCCGCAAATTCCCCGGAGTCCAATTTCTCCTTAACTTTCTTAATACATCTCACCTATTTCAGCTCATCGGATTGGCTTAATAATGATAACAATAACAATATGTGCACTCTGGATTTAAGAATCCCGAGAATTGACCAGTTGGACAACAACTTTTCCTTCTTTCCAACCATCAGGACATTTTTATGGTTACATTTTCCTGATATTCTCCCGGGAATGGGCTTTAAGTCTTCTCTTTTACCAGGTTTGGTCTGCTCTTCTCGAACAAGTGACCAATCAATTATGGTCATAAATGTTCCATATATGCGTGTAGATATGAGACATATGTTGAAGCGTGAAAGCTTCTTGTCCATTTAGAATAGATATGGATGTTAAAGCCTTTGGGGTGGGATTCTTCCTTTATGTTGGTTGATTTTCTTTATTAATAAAAATTTTATACTTGCATCACTACTTCAAATAGAAATGATAAAATAAACCTTATAAGGGAGGAGAAAAAGAATAATATGAATAAGAGCCAAGGAATCGGTGAAATAAACGATTCGATTTAAAAATTTTCCTTTCCAATTGTTTAAAGAATTTAAAGAATCGTTTCCAAAAAAATAAAATAAAGCTTAGGTGTAGATTCAGTAGAATAATCTTTTCCATACGAATCTAACATAGGAAAAACCCTCGACCAATTCTTTTAAAAAAAAACTCAAAATAAAGAACAAAATTCAGGTCCCTTGCATTTAGCATCCATTTTGAATTTTTGTAGTATCCTTTGAAAATCATCTCCCTTAAAGAGTTAAAAGGTCAAATTAACTTCCTTTGGAAAGGATCAAACAATCGTAATATTTATTAAACAAATTATTAATAATAAAAATTAACGACGCGTAACTTACTACAATATGCATTGTCACTAATGTAATAATGTTGTTTGATATTTTGAAATGTTGTTGCCATTAAAATGACGCAAACAAAAACACACAAAAAAAATTTTTTTTAATATCTCCTTTATTTCATAAGTTGTTCCCAAGGAGCTAAACTTTTCTTCTACTGAATACAAATTCAGTTCCCACATACTCATTCACCACATTACTTATATTATTAATATCAATAACGTGATACATGATCGGGTAGATAAATTTTAGTGTATAATATAAATATTGATTGATTAAGTTACTTTGCAACAATAAACCTATAATTTTCCATCTTTATCAACGAAAATTTCATTTCTGGGTCCTCGTTTAAAAAAGCAGAGGAAAATAATAGATAATTAACATTTTAATAAAATAAAACTCTGTGATTGAAAAAAAACATTGTCTTTATGTTCTTTGTTTAAAGCGCTTTGATAAAAGCTACAAGTGCAGTGCCTTGGTAAAAGGAGACAATTGTGGGACATTGATAAAAAGCCACGTAGAATATGCTACTGCCATTTCTACCCATTTCCATTAAGGTAATCAAACACTACTTGACTAATTCTTGGTTGGTCATAATATTAATATTATGCGCTTAATTAATAAATACAGATTATCATCAGATCCTGTGGCAGCATAGAAAGGTCTGTTTTGACGAATATTGATTACTTTTGTATGTCCAGTGATTCTCAAACAGAAGATCCAGTGTCAAACGAAAACACACGCCTACAACTTTTTTTATATTTAAATGGATTGTTATATATTCCTTGTTAAACAAATCATCAAGGGGATTTTTGATTACCATAACCAACAGTAATAATCCTTTTACTTTGAGTTCCGAGCTAGATCGTTAATCCTTCCTAAAATTACTTTTACCTCATTTTTTTAAAATCTGTTCAGGTTGAGTTGTATCCCATATTCTAACATTCCCATGAACATATATGTATATGAATATGTTAAAACAGTTATCATTACCATATTTACACTGATATTTCATGTATTTTGTTTATCGTATTTATTTACCACCAGACGCTCGCTATATAACCACTAGGCGAATAATGAGCTACAAAATGTTGTGTATATTTCATTAGCAATGGCCGAGTTCTAAAATTTTGCTGTTATTATATGCATTTTTAATAAAAGATTGATACCAACGGCTAAATTCCCAATGATAATATAAAGTTTTCTCGGAACCAAATTGTCTTCCTTAGATGGTATCAGGTAATACTTTCAAAAGTAATTAATATTAATAAATTAATTATCATATCATCTTTATTATAATTAAACTAGAGTGACGAGTTACCACCACCATTGAAAAGATTTTCTTTTATGAAACAACTGGTATTAGTATAGATTTTTTATAAAGAAATCTTGCGCACGCATTTTATTTTTTTGTTGTTTTACAAAAAATTATATAAAAAATATGAATAGAATTCATATTCATTATTTTTTTTGATTGTTCATGTAATAATTTTTTCTATTATTAGATGTTTTATTGGTGTCTTTTCTTTTATAAATTTTTTTTTTGGCCCATTTGTAGTAGCAACAGTGGCATCATCATCACCACCACCATCATTATTTTCCTTGGTTTTAACAATAATAATATCAATTTTATTATCATCATCTTTCATTATTATCAAAATTTCCTCATTATTAAGATTAATAATTTCTTTATTAATTATTTTTGAAATTGATTTTCTGTTGTTTTCTCCTGGGGCATTCCAATTATAGAGTGTTGTTGATGATTGTGTTAAAGAAGATCAATATCCAATTCGCCACAAAAAGTAACAAATTATTTGTTTTATTAGACATCTTTGATCAATGTTTAAATATCTACAATTAATTTGATATCCTTTATCCTCGGCACCTTTTATCCACTCTTTGACTTTTATCTCTATATATTTTTAATTTTTGACATCATATCAGTCATGTAGATATTTAAAGCACCTAGATGTAAAATTTTAGTTTGCTTTGCTGAGACAAGGCATTCAATAATATATAATCTAATCATAAAAGTTTTACCTTTATTTCATTTGTTTTAGAAAAATGACTTTCCCAGATATTTCATAATTGCACTTTCCACTAACTTATCTACAAATAAGGTATCTGTGAATTTTTATTAAAAAGATGTCATTTTGTTATTGTTATTTTTTTCCACTCTTTTAACGGCCTTAGCTTCAAATAACTGTGGAATTATTTGTTTCTTTGGTGTTAATGATTGAATCAATCACACGAATAGTAGTCAATTTAAATGGCAGTGTCTTTAAGAATGTATTTGAAATAATGTTATTAAATGTATAAAAATTTAATATTGCAAAATTGTTTTGATACATAAATCTCAATCCAAAATCAATCATATTTATATACTTTAAAAATTTCTTTGTTTATTTCTTTGATAAAAAATAAATTTATAAATTCAAATAGATTGGATTTTTAAAGAAAACAACAAAAATCAATCTGGTGCAACATTCAGGATTTTTTTGATTTTTTTCATAAAGTTGGTTGCGTTGTGATAAATACTCATAATGTAATCATACCAGGAAGGGAAGAGAGAAGTCAACATGGCATGTTGATGTTGAGGAGATGTTGAAAATCAACTTTGATTTTTGGGGAAGGAATTTTCTATTTTTGAGAAATGTTAAATTGACTTGCAGATCAATGAATGTATTTATTTCTTTCGAAGGCTATAAAACCTTTCTACTTTCAATGACACCTGATAGCCTTCCGTATTTTCTCTTGCTAGTCTTTTAACTTTGCTTGATTTTTTCTGCCATCTTTTCCCGTGTTAAAACTAACATGAATTTAATCATTATTTACAAGAATAAGAAAAAAATTTTTTTTTTTTGGTCAAAATGTATTATTATCTATTATACCGAGATAAATCGTTAAGAACTATTACTAATGAAGAGAGACTTAACAAACAATTACTTTTTCAACCAATTATCTTAATATTAACAAACAATAAACAATTGCTTTTTCAATCAATTATCTTAATATTAACAAATAAAGAACTATTACTTTTCCGGTTAATTAATGGTGATGTGGCTCATATCAACCAATACAAACCTTGTTATAATTGGTTGTGCACCTGAAATGATTTGTAATAATAAAATGTTGAATTTACACAGCTTTAATTTTCATTGAGGATTTCCATACCTGACTCTTGGCTTTGTTTACATCAATATATCAATATAATCCGCGTGTGACGTAGATCCCATATTGTTATGGAACCCAAAGCAAGTAAGGTCTTAGAACTATATATTTAGAAATTTATTATTGGGAAAATTGGGAAAATTTTTGCGTCGCAAAATTGGAATAAAATTTTTCTTTAGGCAAATTTTTTAAGTATTTTTTTCTCTAAAAATAAAAAATTAATTAGTCTCCTCTTTCAATAATGGCCCCCCATTCTAAAATAGTTTTAGTCAAAGCTTATGCATTAGAGTAAGTTCACATTCATATTTTTTTTAATATAATTGAAATATAAACTCACTAATTTATGATATGTAGCTGGATCATGTGTGTTATATTTGGACTTGGATTCCTTGGAATAACTAGGATAGAGCCTTATCATCGATTATTTTCATTGGAGGATAAATCAATTCAATATACATATGCTGTGAAAGAAACAGTTCCAATGTGGTTGGCAGCTGTTAGTAAATAAATAAAAAGTTCTCTTATATTTCAAAAATTAATTAATTAACTAATTTTAGAACAAAATATTAATGTGTATAATATAGGTAATTGTTGTATTAGGACCATTAGTTGTCATGACAATTACGGCTTTAGCAATTAAGAGAAGCACGCATGATTGGCATCATTCTTGTCTAGGTCTTTTCTTATCTCTGACATTAACTCTTATTGTTACCGAAATTTTCAAAGTATGTTAATAATTTAAAATCATCCAACCTTTTCAAAATAATAAAGTAATAAATTTTATTTTATTTATTTATAGAATACATCGGGTAGGCCTCGACCTGATCTCATAGATAGATGTCAACCAGTACCGGGCTCGGTTGATTCTCCTGTATATGGTTTAAGTAATTCTTCAATATGTACTCAGACTGATGAAGCAATTATGAGAGATGGTTTTAAAAGTTTAGTATCTGGACATGCATCCAGTAAGTATGATAGATTAACATACTCATATATTCATATACTCAAATGCTTGTATTTTAAATATTCATACGTTCATATCATGTTTATTTGAAAATAGCTTCATTTGCTGGTATGGGTTATCTTAGCTTGTATCTTGCTGGAAAATTACATGTTTTTGATAGAATGGGCTACACATACAAAGGGTTTGTTGTGGTTACTCCTTTGGTCATTGCTATGCTTATTTGTATTTCAAGGACTCAAGACTATCGTCATCATTGGCAAGATGTGCTTGCAGGAAGTATTCTTGGTAACAGAATTATTTAATTAATTAGATTTATTTTATTAGAAAAAAAAGAATTTAACAAAAAAAAATTTTTCATTTTAATTTAAGGTATCGTATTATCAATATTTTCCTATTATCAATACTACCCCAGCCTTCACTCACCAGCCTGTGATAAGCCATACTCTGTCAGATTAAAGAAACAAAGGCGTTATCATAATGCAGAATTTGTATTTTCAGATGGTTCTAATTTCAAAGTAGAAGTTACCAGGGAAGATGGCACTATCGTCCATTCGGATAATAATGCTGTTTTGAATGATGCAGGTTTTGTGGAGGACCTTAGTAAAAGTTCTATTGGATCTGGAAATGTTTAAAAATGTTTTTGTTTTCTAATAAATTAATTCTTTCAATGTTTAATTTTTAACATATGTATTTAATTATAATATTTACAACAAAGTGTGCATTTAGAGTCAATTAGTGAATAAAATAATATCTTCCATTTCCATATTAAGCTTAAAAAGAAAACTTTTTATTAGCCTCAATCCAACACCTTTCATTGGGTAATTTACATTAAAACCGTTTTCTTGAAAATCGGGTTGAATTCATATTATTATAGTAATACGTGTTTCATTTCAATACAACTTGAAATAAGACACGTGCTGTCTGAATTCAACAAGTACTTTATTTAATCTTATACCTTGCCACAAAAATAAGTTAATTTTATCAATAATTATATTCAGCCTGACATTAAAAATGTATATCTTTATCAAACGAAATCTTATCAATCATACAATACAACTTTTGATTTATTATTATTGAAGTTCAATCTGATGATGCTTTTTTTACCAATAACTCTTCTCCGTACCCATCTTCAATAAAGTAACTCCAAACATCAATTTCTTCCATATTCAAATAATCTCATATAGTGGCCATCTTTATGATCTCATACTTATGTTCTTTGATCAAATAACTTGTAAATCTTCGTTAAAAAATAGCTCATTGCAAATCCAGAGATCATAAAACTGATATATATAATATGCTAATAAAAAATTTACTTGAATATATTTCAAATATGTAAAGGAGAAACATTTTCTTTTCAAAAATAATCACTCCAATATGAAGATCTAGCTCTTAATATAAATAATATGTGCGCTTTAAGTACCCAACTTTTATTTCCACATTGATATTTAACATTTCATTAACTGCTACTTGAGTTTACAAATTCGTTGAATAATTAAAGTTAACAACTTTTCTTGATTGTTAATATAAATTATTATAACATTTTCACAATATGGCACGCCATCAAATGCTGCGTCACGCTGCCAAATCCAAATCCCAAAATAGCAATGATACTCTGGTGTCACGGTATTATAAAATCACGTGACTTAATATCGTATTCGTTCGTTATACATATTAATTTCGTGCATGCAACTTCAAAATCCAAAAAAGGTTATCGAAAATACTAATTCAATAATTACGATAAGCATTACATTTTACCAAGAAAAAAATTTTTTGAACAAAAAAAAAAATAGGCTACACCGATTTTATTTGTTTGCTTTCTTACGCTAATAAAATATATATTTTAAATAAAAAAAGTTTCTTGAATTTTTAGAAATGAATTGGTTTATCATATGTGGCCATTGCTATAAAAAAATTTTTTTTAGGGAAAATAAAGTGAGAAATATTATACACATATATATATATTAACGTCAGTATCAATAATAATGATTATGATCACGTACCAGCTTCTTTTAATGCTTCAGATAACGTCTAAAAAAAAAAAAAAAACAAATAAACAGTAATTAGTAAAAAAAAAGGATATAAATTTAAATTTTATTCTCTTATATATATATATAAATACTAACTGGATGTGCATGGCAAGTTCTAGCTATATCTTCGCTACTTGCACCATATTCCATAGCTAGAACAGCTTCACCTATCATTTCACCAGCATTTGGTCCAATGATATGAATTCCTAACACTAGATCAGTTTCTTCATCAGATATAATCTTAACTACTCCTTCAGAGTCGTCATTTGTTCGTGCACGTGAATTTGCAGCAAATGGAAAGGTACCAACACGATATGGTTTTTTGGTTTCTTTAACTTGTTCTTCGGTTTTACCACACCATGCAACTTCTGGATGTGTATAAATTACTGAAGGTATCACATCATAATTGACATGTCCAAATCCACCTGCAAGAAATTCTGCAGCAGCTATGCCTTAATTAACATGAAAAATAAAATAAAACCAGATAAGTTCTTGCTTGCTTTTTATGGTTTCAAATATCAAAAAACATAATGTAATGCTTATAAACCTTCTTCTTCAGCTTTATGAGCTAACATTGCACCGTAAGTAACATCACCAATACATAAGATGTGTGAATGATTAGTCTTAAAATGAGAATCGATCTTAATTCTTCCTTTATCATCAACATCAATTCCAACATTCTCTAAACCAAGTTTTTCTGTATAAGGTCGTCTTCCAATTGAAACTAGTACAACATCGGCTTCTAACTTTATTTTTTATTAAATAAAAAACTTTTTTTAGAAATTATTATCCAAAAAAATTTTTATTAATTTTAAATATTGAATAAATAATTATGTGAATCAAAGCTACATACTGATTCTTGTGTACCTCCGTTGGATGCTTCAACATTTACATAAACTTTGCCATCTTTTTTTGATGCATCTATAACTTTTGTATTTAGTTTAAATTTAAGCCCTTGTTTTTGAAGTATTTTTGAGAATGATTTACTATATAATAACATTTACCAATATATTTTACATTTTCTCTTATTTCTAAAATACTTTATATATATATTAATTATTTAATTAAATCAACATACGCTAATTCGCCATCTATTCCTGCACCAATTGAACTAAGATATTCAACAACAGTTACTTCTGCACCAAGACGACTCCATACAGAACCAAGTTCAAGTCCAATAATGCCGCTACCAATAACGAAGAGGAAACTGTTGTAGCATTTGAGTAAATATTATTCATCTTTACAATACTAATTTAGTATATTATTATTTTTCATTTTATAATCACAGCCATGCTCCATTTTCATCTAGTTCTAAAGGACATGCCGCTGGTCCAGTAAAGCAGCTGATGTAGAAATTAAGGAAAAGATGGGAATAAAAAATTATTAATGAATTTAGAACCAGAGGGATTATTTAGTAAACTTCAACGGTTTTGGGCGTTCCGAAGATCCGGAATCGTGGTGTTAAGGAACATATTTTTGTTATATGAATGAGAAAGGCCTGAAGTTTCAGGAGGGACTGACCCCACTGCTGTACGTGATTGTGGCTAGAAAATCTAGCCAGTACAGATTTCTTTTTCATATGTCAATTTGAATTGATAAGCATTTAAAAAAAATTTTTTTTTTTTTAATTATAAAGAATTCTAAATTTTAATAATGTATAAATATTTATCAAGATCTTCATGCCTTGTTAATGTAAGAATATAGCTATCTCTAGCTATATACAAATTATTCTATAATTGACTTAAATGTATAAATATATATATATCCCATAGATCGTAATTCATCAAAATATTAACAAAACAGTTACACCCTCAATTTTTTCATCGTTTGGACGTCGTTTTTACTCAGTTTCTCCAACAGGTATGAGGTGATTGTAAATTTCAAGCTATTTCTCTTTATTTAATTATTAGAGAAAGTCGACTTGATAGTTTTTTTTATTTTGTTTTATAAAGATATTGAATATGACGCTATTATAATTGGTGGAGGCCCAGGTGGTTATGTTGCAGCAATAAAAGCTGCACAATTAGGACTTAAGGTTTATATTAAAAAAAGGAAGAGAAAAGAAAATCAAGTTTATTTTGATTTTTACATTAATGAATTCTTTTTTCTTTTTTTAAATAGACCGCATGTGTTGAAAAACGTGGTGCTCTTGGTGGTACTTGTTTAAATGTTGGATGTATTCCTTCAAAAGCATTGTTAAATAATTCGCATATATTTCATCAAACAAAGCATGAGTTAAGCTCTAGAGGAATTGATGGTAAGTTGTAAAGTATATATATTATTATTTTTTTAAAAAGTGATTATTATTTTCTTATTCTTTGTTAATGAGAATATTACATAGTCATTAGTTTTTGATTGATCTATTTATTAATATAAGAAATATTATTAGTAGTAAATTAGCATATAATAATATATATATACATTTCATACAAATTCAAAACTATAATAATAACACTGATAATAATAGTAATAATAACAATAACAATAATCAAGTTTTGGATGTGAAGTTAAATCTTGGTAATATGATGAAAGCCAAAGATAAGGCAGTCACCGGTCTTACTAGAGGTATTGAAGGACTTTTCAAAAAAAATGGTGTTACTTATATTAAAGGTCATGGACGCTTTATCGGATTGAATGAGATTAAAGTTGATGGTTTGGATGGAAATGAGAGTATTTTTAGAGCAAAAAATTTTATAATTGCTACTGGATCAGAAGCAACGCCATTTAAAGGTTTAGATGTGTGTAATCAAGTTATTATACATCATAAAATAAATTTTATATATTAATAATATATTTTTTTTCTTAAAAATTTTTAATTATAAAGATTGATGAAACACAAATAGTAACGTCTACAGGAGCACTATTGTTAGATAAAGTACCTAAAAAAATGTTGGTAATTGGTGGTGGCATTATTGGACTTGAACTTGGTTCTGTATGGAGTCGTCTTGGTGCAGAAGTAACTGTTGTTGAATATCTTAGTTCAATTGGTGCAGGAATAGATGGTGAATTAGCGTATGTTGATTAAATTAAATAATTAATATATATATATATATATATATAAGTATTTTAGAAATAAGAGAAAATGTAAAATAATTCAGTAAATGTTATTATATAGTAAATCATTCTCAAAAATACTTCAAAAACAAGGGCTTAAATTTAAACTAAATACAAAAGTTATAGATGCATCAAAAAAAGATGGCAAAGTTTATGTAAATGTTGAAGCATCCAA